GTAACCTCACTAATCCATAAGTGGTTTGGAACAATGTGTAAGGCATGCAGCATCAAGACGTTTTGCCTGTATTTCTCACTTCAAACTTTCTTATTTTTAAACACAAGACAAATGTGATCAATAAAATGAAATAAAATATATCTCAACTATAATACTTGAAGCAAGAAAATAACAAAGTAATGCTTTAAAATTCTGAGAAAACTACTTTTAATCTAGAAGTCTATGCTTAGCCAAACAACCAATAAATAAGGTATGAGGGCAGAAGATACTGTATCTTCAAGAACATTTATCTCCCAGGCACTTTCTCCCTCAATAAGTTATCGGAAAATATGCTCTAATAAAACCAGGGAGCAAACCAACAAATAAAAACCTAAGATCCAGGAGACTGAGACCAACACTGAAACAAAGAGATTTCTCAGGATGATGGTAAAGCAAAATCTCCAGACAACTGTTGTATAGTAGCTTTAAAGAGCAAACAGCCCTGGTCAGTTTGGCTCAGTGGTTAGAGTGTCAGTTCACAGACCAAAGAATTGCAGGTTCAATTCCTGGTCAAGGACACACACCTCAGTTGCAGGTTCAATCCCCAGCCCCTATTGGGGTTGTGTGGGAGGCAATCAATCAATATGTCTCATTCACATTGATGTTTCTCTCTCTCTCTCTCCCTCCCGCTCTATCTGAAGATAAATGCAAAAATGTCCTTTGGTGAGGATTAAAAAAAAAAGAGCAAACAGTCTGGGCTGGAACAGAAAGGTGGAGAAATCCAGCGAACTGGTAAGTTCTCTGATACTGCTTGAATACAAAGGGGTTTTACAGCTCTGACTCCAAGTATGGTAAAAATTAGTTACAATATATATAGCATGTTAAACAAAAAAAATGAAGCAACTGTTACTTCAGACAAAAATCAGAATTCTACAGGGAAGAAAGATAATCAGAATACTTCTGGGGTTAGCAGTGAGAATTTACATACTAACAATAATTTAAACTATGCATAGTGATTTAACTGAAACTATAATAGAAGATGAAGGAAGAAGTGTTAGTGGTGAGGTGATGTAGGACATCTAGTTATTCCAAAATAAAGTAAAAGTATAATAACAGATAAATAAAAAAATACCAGCACAGAAGTTGGCAATATTTGTTAAAATTCAAAATTCATCTTTCTAACTTTCTTACTCCTAAGAATTCTATAGATATAACATAATAAGCAAAATGATATGTGAACAAGTACAGCACTATTTGTAACAATGAAAACATCAGAATCAACTAAAGGAAAACCATTAATGAATTACATTTATATAACTGAATATTATACAGCTTTTTAAAAACAATGCAACTCTATTTGTACTAATCTGAAAAATCTCAGATATTAAATTAAAAAGCAGAATAGTGGTTGCTATCATTTGTGTAAATAACATTCTAGATAAAAGTACCAACACAAATATATAAAATATAAGAGTAAACAGTGAAAGAAGCAGCTAAAGTATAGAAAAACTTTACTCCTGGGATATAGGACTCAAAAAGTGGGGAGGGATTGCTGTTTCCCATTGTAACCCTTTAAGTATTATTTGATTTTTCCAAATAATTTATGTACTATTTTGATTAAAATACATTAATTGAAAAAAAAAACTACAGAGATTATAGAAGTCTACCTGAGCCAACCCTCCCATTAAAGAAAACTGATAAAGCTCGATGAAATATAAGAAACATTTCCTAAAAGGCAAAACCTAAGAAGATTAAAAACCTATACCAGGCCAAGATTCAGGAAAGAGTTAACACTTAGAGAAATTAGAAAACCACTTGGGCACCATCTGCCCTAGAGACAACGGTTGAGACTCAAAAAGCTGCACCATAGTAGTAATTAAGAACCAGAAGTAAAACTGGCTTTAGCATGGTCTTCAGCCAACTAAGTAATACAGAAAATCTAAAGCCTTAAAATTAAGTTAAAGATGGGCCTAGTAGAAACAAATGGAAATCTCAGCTTAGGCCTCAATGTATGCAACAAATAATTTTTCAAACACAATGTCTAATACATATTCAAAGATAATCAGGCACACAAAGGAACAATGTAACAGATAAAGGCCCACACAGACTCCAAATGCTATATATTCTCAGACACAGATTATAAAATAACTACATTTACTATGTCCAAGTATAAAACAAGACTGAAAATTTCAGAAACATATATAATGTTTTAAAAATTTCTAGAACTTAAAAATAAATACAATTAGAGACATAACAAATAAATTTAACAGCAGATTATACATAAATAGGGAATAAATGAACTGCAAGATAAGTCAGAAGAAGTTTCCAGAATGAAGCAAAGACAAAAAGATGGAACACACAGAAGTGAGGATAAGGGACAGTATACAATGAAAGGGTCAAACATATTAACTGGAGTTCCAGAAGGAGAGCAAACAGAGAATGAGGCAGAATAACATTTGAAAAACTATGGCTGAGATTTTTCTAGTACTGATGAAAACATAAATCCACAGAATCAAGAATTTCTTGCAATGCCATTCAGAGTAAATAAAAAGAAATCCACACCTAGATACATCATCATGAAACTGCCAAAAACCAGAAACAAAGAGAAAATCTTAAAACATCCAAGGGAAAAAAAAAAAAAAAGACTCCAAAAGCACAAAACTTAAGACTGATTTCTCAAAAGCAACAGAAGCCAGAAATCAGTGGAATATTTTCAAAAATAAAACAAACAAAAGCTGCCAACCGAGATTTCTATACTATGTGAAAATTTCCTTCACTAATGAAGATTAAAAATATTTTCCTAGCTGGGGTAGCTCACTTGGTTGGAGTATTTACTGTCCTGTACACCAAAAGGTTGAGGGTTTGATTCCCAGTCAGGGCAGATACCTAGGTTGCAGATTCAATCCCTATCAGGGTACATTCAGGAGGTAACCAATAAATGTTTCTTTCACATTGATGTTTCTCTCTCTCCTCCTTTCTTCTCTAAAATCAATATAAACATTCTTGGGTGAGGATTTAAAAACAAAACAAAAACATTTTCCAACAAGCAGAAACAGAATTAGACATTAGGAGACCCATAGTGAAAGCAGAGAGAGGGTTAGAGATACATGAAGGAAAAAAAAAAGGAATAATATGAAAATATGCTCTCTGGAAGAAAGTGATGCATGGAGGTCAATGCTTTAGATATCACTTGCTTAATCTTTCCTTAGAACTCTAAGGGCAAACAAATTCTTTTATGTGACATTAATATCTTACTTGCCTTACAAATGGCCAAGAGACATATGAAGAAATGCTCAACATAACTAATCATCAGAGAGATACAAATTAAAACAACGAGGTATCACCTCACACCTGTCAGAATGGCCGCCATCAACAAATCACTGAACAACAAGTGTTGGCGAGGGTGTGGAGAAAACGGGACTCTAGTATACTGCTGGTAGGAATGCAGACTGGTGCAGCCACTATGGAAAACAATATGGTGTTACCTCAAAAAATTAAAAATTGAACTGCCATTTGACCCAGTTATCCCACTTCTAGGAATATACCCTAAGAAGCCTGAAATACCAATTAGAAAGAATATATGTACCCCCATGTTTGTAGCAGCACTATTTACAATAGCTAAGATCTGGAAACAGCCCAAGTGTCCATCAGTAGATGAATGGATAAAAAAGCAGTGGTACATATACACAATGGAGTACTATGCAGCTGTAAGAAAGATCTCTTATCCTTTGAGACGACATGAAGGGACCTGGAAAGTATTATCCTAAGTGAAACAAGCCAAGCAGAAAAAGACAAATGCCACATGATCTCACTTATTTATGGAATATAATGAACATAACAGTCTGAGGAATAAGGTAGACCCAGAAACATGGAAGTAGGGTATAGACTGACAATCCCCAGAAGAGGGGGTGGTGGGGGGAGGGAAGAGATAAACCACAGAACTTATATGCATGTATGCATAACCAATGGACATAGACAACAAAGCTGGGGATGGGGAAGAGGGTGTCAATGGGGTAAAAAAGGAGAAACATCTGTAACAAAAAAAAAATTTTTTAAATATATATCTTACTTGCCTGTAGACTCTGTGTGCTATACTTAACTGCACATTTGCAAGCAGTTCATTTCAGATTTGTTTTTATCTAAAGATCTTATGTCCAAATTATAAGACTAAAGCAGACTTACTAAGAAAGATTTCAATCATCTGACTCTTGCTTATCTAACTACCTCTTACTCAATACTGAACCAGCAGATTAACAGTAATAAAAATCATTTTGTACTTAGTATATATTCATTACTTATGCTAGTATGAATAGTTAAATTAGATTATTATTACCTATTATCTTTTTAACCCTTCTTTCCTTTTGTAACATTTCCCCATAGAGTTTATATTTAGAATGTGAGCTGCAAGTTGGACTGCTGAAGTTAACGTCCTAACTACAACCTTTATCAGCTATGTCAACCACCTTTATCAGCCATGTCAACCGTAGTATATTTAACCTCTTTATGCTTCGGTTCCCACATCAGTAGGACAGCAGTAATTGTTACTTTTCATATATGGTTACTTCAAGAATTAAAATGAAAGGAAATAACATGGAAAAGCATGCAGCACAGTCCTTGGCACATAATAAGTATTCAATATGTGTTAAAAACAATTTCTTTTGGGAAGGTAGATAAAAATCTACATTTTAAAAACTATGATTTTAGCCCTGGCCAGTTTGGCCCAGCGGTTAGAGCATCAGCCCACAGTTCAGAGAGAGCCAGGTTCGGTTCCCGCTAAGGGCACTTACCTCGGTTGCAGTTTGTCCCAGGCCCTGGTTGGGTCGTGTGGGAGGCAACCACTCGATGTGTCCCTTTCACGTCAACGTTACTCATATTACTCTCTCTCTCTCCCTCCCACTCTACCTGAACAAAAAATGTCCTCGGGTGAGGATTAAAAAAAAAACAAAAAACTCTGATTTTAGGAATTATTAAATTTTATGATAACTGTATAATTAATTACTGAAAATATAGAAAACACATACTTGACTAAATCTATTCTATTATTGATAGCAGCCCAATGGAGGAGTGTAACATTTTCTTTGTCTGGTTGCCGCACATCGTAACCTGCTTCCACCAATTCTCGGCAACGTTCATATATTCCATACCTTGAAAAAAAAAAAAGAAAAACAGATTATCACTACTATTTGACAAGAAATGTAATGCTAAAAATAACATTTCAGAAGACTACAATGCTCCATTTGATACCGGAAAATTAAAATGAACTTCTCAAAATAAAATGCTCCTTTTAACATATCAATATTCCAACATTTTTTACTAATCCATTTACAGTATTGTCTCATCTATAAGAATGTAGGAGTATCTCAATAGGTGGAAAAGAATATCAGAAATAAAACATATATCAGTTGTTTGTTTTTATTCATATCACTAATTATCTTATTCCAGAAAACACTTGAGGCAGCTTATAAAAGTACATACAATTATGTTTAAAAGAAAAAAAATCAAAGAGTCCTGGCCGGTTTGACTCAGCCGTTAGAGCATCAGCCCGCAGACCAATGAGTCTCCGGCTCAATTCAGGTCAAGGGCACTTACCTGGGTTGTAGTTGGTCATGTGGGAGGCAGCCAGTCAATATGTCTCTCTCACACTGATGTTTTTCTGTCTCTCTCTCTCTCTCTCCCTCCCTCCCACTTTCTCTGATTATAAATAGAAAAATATCCTTGGGTGAGGAATAAAAAATAAAAAAAATCAAAGATGTAACAAAGCAGTAACAAGGAGCATATCAATGATTTATAAGAACATCAGGAAGAAAGGATGTTTCACAAGCCTGAGGATTCTTTATTTACAAATTTAGCTTTAACATTCATGAAGGCAAATTTCAAAGGGAAGGGATGTGTGGGGGTGGGAAGTGTGGCGGGTGGGGGAAAGAGTCTCTTGTGAGTTCAAGCCAATGAAACATAAGACAAAATCTATTGGGAGAGTTCTAGGAAAGGTGTTCATATTTGATAAAGAAGAAAGACACATGCAAAGAACCTGATACTTTCCACTTTGGGTGATTGTGAGGCAGCATAAAATGTTTAAACTTTTTATTATGGAAATTTTCAAGCATAAGCAAAAGTAGAGAGACTAATACAATAAATCACTAAGAATCCATCATCAAACCTAAAAAATCATCAACTTTAACCTAAACAAAATATTGGGCCCTTGGAAATGTGAGACACAAAAACAAACTTAAATGAACTTTGACTATATTTGTAATTTCTTAATCAGAGTGGTCTCCAAAATGGGGAAGGCACACCATAGGATGAGGTTGAGGTAGTAGTGGCACATTAATGAGACACTCAAAGCAAATATTAAAATTTCTACCTATATTCACAGCTTAGCCAATACAGAAATTAAGCTTTACTAATATTTCATACAGCCTTCACACTGATGCCCTCACTGGTTCTGTAATGCATGTATACACACAGACAAACACATATATGCGCAAAAATAATCCACCTAAGGAAAGAGCAAGTGTTCTACAAATCACAGGAGATGACAGTGGTACCTTCTTCAGTTCCTTGCTCTTTTTCAGAAAATTGTTTACATGTGCTCTATTAAGTGAACTAGGCATAATTACCTTAAAGAGTAGACTCTACCTCATACTTTGAATGAAATAAGTGACCATGGAAATCTTTTTAACCATATAGAAAATCACTGGTTATTTTTCTAACAATTAAAAGTGAGTATACAGCCCTGACCAGTTTGGCTCAGCGGTAAGAGCATAGGCCTGCGGTCCAGAGAGACCCGGGTTGGGTTCCCGCTAAGGGCGCGTACCTTGGTTGCAGTTTGTCCCTGGCCCTGGTCGGGTTGTGTAGGTGGCAGCCATTCGATGTGTCCCTTTCACATCGATGTTTTGCTCCCTCTCTCTCTCTCTCTCTCTCCTCCTCTCTCCCTCCCACTATATCTGAACAAAAAATGGGAAAATGTCCTCAGGTGAGGATAAAAAAATAAAAATAATAAAAATGAGTATGCATTCATTTTCCCTTTAACGAAAAAGACAAGTGTTTCAATTGCTGGCTTTGGAGTGGGGGAGGTGGGGGATAGTAATGCCAAAAAACTGTGAGTAGTATGATATTCTTAAGATATTTAGTTTTTTCCCCTACAAGGAAAAGGAATCATTTTCGACAACAGTAAGAAAGTAACTACTTTTATTTCAGAAAAACACCTGCTATAAAGAGAATATTTTTTAATGTTTGGAAATGTTTCCAACATTATGTAATTTCTGAAAGAAATTCCACTTGAGTTGTCTACCTTAGAAAAACTCTTGTTTTGTTTTTTTGTTTGTTTGTTTGGTACATGTCCCTAGTGGGAACTGAACCTGGGACCCTCTGGTCCGCAGGCCGACGCTCCAACCACTGAGCCGAACGGGCCAGGGCAGAAAAACTCTTGTTTATGTGCAGGGGAAATAGGTGTAAGGACATTCACTAACACAATGTTTGTAATAGTGAAAAAGTAGAAGAAATTTTAAGTGTCTCTTAGTAAGGAGTGATAGAATACAGTAGTCCCCTCTTGTCCCCAGGAGATATATTCCAAGACCCTTAGTGGATGCCTGAACCTGTGAACAGTACTGTATGGTTTTTCCTATGTATATGTTCATATGATAAAGTTTAATTTATAAATTAGGCATAGTAAAAAAATTAATAATAATAAAATAAACAATTATAATATACTATAATAAAAATTATGTGAATGTGGTTAATCTCTTACACTCTCAAAATATCTTATTGTACTATACTCACCCATTTTGTGATGAGATGATAAAATGACTTAAGTCGAGAACTTTCACCTTTTTACTTAAAGGAAGCACTTTAAAGCTTCACTTTGGCACATCCAAATTGCCAGCATCACTCATCTTGTGCTTTGGGGCAAATTAGGTAAAATAAGAGATACCTGAAAACAAGCACTGTGATACCTCGACAGTCGATCTGATAACTAAGATGGCAATTAAGTGATTAACAGCAGGTAGCTATCATTGCACAAATATGCTGGACAAACAAATGATTCGTGTGCCAGGTAAGATGCAATGAAATTTCGTCATACTGCTCAGAACAGCTTAAACTTGTAAGTTGTTTATTTCTGGAATTTTTAATTTAATATTTTTGGACAGTGGTTGACCATGGATAAACAAAGCCACAGAAAGCGAAGGCAGAGAATAGGGGGGATTACTGTACTATAAAGCAGTGAAACGAAATAAGCTAGGTCTTTATTAACAATAAGTCACAAAACCTATATAGTTTTTTAAAAATAAAAGCAAGCTGCAAAAGGACATGTAGTTAACAATACAATTTATATAAATTTTAAGCATACATTACAATAGCATATTTTGTTTATAAATATTTGAAGAAATGTACAAGAATGTTCATGAGAATGATTCACAGTAATTTCAAGAGAGGTTTCCTTGGGGGAGGTAGAGAAAAGAGAACACCGAGCAACCAACCTGTAGTGATTACAGCAAAATGTTAACATCAGCTTAATCTGACAGTTATTCTTCTCTGTAGGACTGAAATGTTTCAAAATTAAATAAATGTTTTTAAAGGCAGCAATTATAGACAGTATACTTAGAAATTTTTCAAGAAATAGGATAGTTAAAAGACTATGTACGAGATAAAGAAAAGTTTTTTTTTTCTTAAAATAAAAGATGCTGGAATATATTTGCTGGTGGAAATGACGCATGAGGTAGGGCAAAAGAGAAAGAAGATATCAAACGAAGCAAAGTCTCAAAAGGAAAAATGAATGTAGAGCAGTACAATTTGTTTGTTAAATACAATTGACATGATGTCCTTTAAGTTTTTTGATACACGACATGCAAGAAAGCAGGGTGACATCAGTAGACTAAGGACCTCCGAAAGTTTGCCTCTCCACAAAAGTAATGAAAAAGGCAGAAACTGTCAAAGTTAACTTTTTCAGAACTCTGAAAATAAAAGGCTTTCAGCAATCCAAGAAACATTTTGGTCAAGAAAAAACAACAAAATTTCAGGAAGAAGAGAGAACTTTGGTGGCATTTTAACATATCATGGTCCCATCCTCTGCTGCCCAGCAGCCTTGAGAAAGAAATATGTTTGCATTCCTGATACTGGTACTAGAGTGAGCAGAAAAGGGATGGATATCTTTCAAAGCTTTATTCACAAAGAGGAATCATTATATGACCTGTCTGGTTGTTCTCTAGAAGTCTACTTGAAAGGTTTACCTATTAGATCTCACTCAAACTCATTAAAGCTTCTCCCTGGGTTGTGTATGTCAAATGTTTTAACACTGCAGTTGCTTGAGAGGATGGATAGCAATATGGACAAACAACAGACAAATCAAAAAGCTTAAAAGCAAAACCTGAAGAATGAGACATCCAGTGGTTTAAAAAGCTTGGACATATTTTTGGGAATCTAGAAGGCCACATGCATGGCCTTCTAGGTTGTGTGCACATGTTCAACCAAGACCTGCGATGGCCCTAAACTCTCACCTCTGACTGACTTTGAGGTTCTGTGTAAGCAGAAAGTGAAGGCTAAGTCAAAGGTGTCAGCTGCCTGGCTAAGTGTTGAGTGTCCCAACATGCACAAAAAAATCTCCTGACAGCCCTGGGAGGTTTGGCTCAGCGGTTAGAGCGTCGGCCTGCGGTCCGGAGAGACCCGGGTTCGGTTCCCGCTAAGGGCGCGTACCTCAGTTGCAGTTTGTCCCCGGCCCTGGTTGGTTGTGCGGGTGGCAGCCACTCGATGTGTCCCTTCACGTCGATGTTTCTCTCTCTCTCTCTGTTCCTCTCTCTCTCTCCCACTCTATCTGTACAAAAAATGGAAAAATATCCTCGGGTGAGGATAAAAAAACAAAAACAAACAAAAATCTCCTGACAAAGATCAAGAAACTACTTCCGGTCAAGATGGCAGGGTAGGTCAAAGCAGTATCACGTCCTCCCACAACCACATCAAAGTTACAAGTAAACTACAAAACAGCCATCATTCAGAACCACCTGACATCGAGCTGAATGGAAGTCCTACAATTACGAAATTAAAGAATAAGCCACATCGAGACTGGCAGGAGGGGCAGAGGCGTGCCGGGCTGGTCCCACACCCACGTGTGGCAGATAAAAATTAGGAGGACACCTTGGCTGGGAAGGTCCTCCCTGAGGACTGAGGGGTCCCCGTCCCACACCAGGCGCCCAGCTCAGGGTTCCAGTGCCAGGAAGAGAAGTCCCCATAACTTCTGGCTGGAAAAACCAGCAGGAACTGAGGCTCAGGGAGGGTGAGGTGGCTGGAGACCAAGGCAGCTGCTCTTAAAGGACCTACGCACAAACTTATTGGACACACTCTCTCTAAGCTTGGAGGGGAGGCAGCTTGAGGGGCTCCAGAGACATTCAGAGAAGAATTGAGCTGTTTGGCATTGGAACAAGGGCTGGAGAGGCAGCTTTCTCCTGGACAGACTTGCTGTCAGAGGCCTTTGTTCCTTTGGTGAGCCCTTCCCTGGGGCGGCAAACTGCCGCCATGTCTGGGACTCCAGCAACCCGGTTCACACTGGTAGCCCTGCCCTGGTGATTCCCTGAGGCCCCACCCCACCCAACTTTCAGGCCCACCCAAGCTGTTGCCAGTTGGTTAACTATAGGATTGGCCTGTCCTGGATCCTGCTTCAGGTTTTCCTAAATTCTTTCAAACAAGCAGCATCTGGTCTCAGCTAGCTCCATACCTCTCGTTAACTAATACATAGAAATAAACACAGGGAGGCACTAAAGTGAGGAGACAAAGAAACAGGTCCCAAATGAAAGAACAGGAAAAAAACTCCAGGAAAAGAACTAAGCGAAATGGAGATAAGCAACCTTACAGATGCTGAGTTCAAAACACTGCTTATAAGGATGCTCAATGAACTCAGTGAGAATCTCGGTGAACTTAGTGAGGGCCTCAAGAGCATAAAAAAGGACCAGTCAGAAATGAAGGATGCACAGTCAGAAATGAAGGAGGCACTAACTGAAATAAAGAATAATTTACACAGATTCCATAGTAAAGTAAGTAAAGCCAAGAAGCAAACCATTGATTTGGAATATAAGGGAGCAAGAAACACCTAATCAGAACAGCAAAAAGAAAAAAGAATCCAAAAAAATGAGTATAGTGTAAGGAGCCTCTGGGACAACTTCAAGCATGCCAACATTCGCATCTTGGGGGTGCCAGGAGAAGAAGAGAGAACAAGAAACCAAAAACCTATTTGAAACAGTAATGGCAGAAAATTTCTCTAACTTGTTGAAGAAAACTGACATACAAGTCCAGGAAGCACAGATGAACCCCAAGAGACCCACACCAAGACACATCATTATCAATATGCAAAAGGTTCAAGACAAAGAGAGAATCTTAAAAGCCACAAGAGAAAAGCAGTTAGTTATCTGCAAGGGAGTTCCCATAAGACTGTCAGCTGATTTCTCAAAAGAAACTTTGCAGGCCAGAAGGGAGTGGCAAGAAATATTCAGAGTGATGAAAAGCAAGAACCTACAACCAAGATTACTCTATCCTGCAAACCTGTCATTTAGAATTGATGACCATATAAAGAGTATCCCAGACAAGGAAAAGCTAAAGGAATTCATCACCACCAAATCATTATTATATGAAATGTTGAAGGGTCTTCTTGAAGAAAATGATAAAATATATGAACAAACAAAATGAACAAGCAGAACAGAAACATTCTCACAGATACAGAAAACATTTTGTTGGTTGCCAGATGGGAGGGAGGTTGGGAGAATGGGTGAAAAAGGTGAAGGGATTAAGAAGTACAAATTGGCTGCTAGACTGACAAACCTCAAAGGGAAGGGGGTTTGGAGGGTGGGAAGGAATAAACCAAAGAACTTAAATGCATATATGCATAACCTATGGACACAGACAACAGTGTGGGGAAAGCAGGAGGGGGACGGGAGTGGGGGGAAAATGAGAAATATCTGTAATACATTCAACAGTAAAGATAGAAAGAAAAAAAAAAAAAAAAGATCAAGAAACTGATTCTAAGGATTTAGGAAGTCTGTCCAATCATTAGCAGACCATAAAATAATAGAGTGGAGAGTGTAGTGGCCAAACAAGACAAAGATACAGACTTCGCAGAATAGTTCAGAAATGTCACAAACAACAAACTGTCATATTACATTAGACTAGTCCAGTTTTAAACAAAAAAGTACAAGATCTCCAAAGAAATAAGAAAGTATAACTCATACATACATGTGTGTGTGTGTGTGTGTGTGTACACAACAAGTATTATAAACTGTCCCTGAGGAATCCCAGACAGTGAACATATTAGACAAAAATTTTAAATCAGCTATTTTAAATTTGTATAAAGAACTAGCATGGCCAATGTGGCTATTGGTTGAGCGTGGACCCATGTACCAAGAGGTCACTGGTTCAATTCCTGGTCAGGGCACATGCCCAAGTTGTGGGCCAAATCCCCAGTGGGGGGCATCCAGGAGACAGCCAATAGAGGTTCTCTCTCATTGATGTTTCTCTCTCTCCCCCTCTCCCTTCTTCTCTCTCCAAAATTAATACAGAAAAAAAAAAATTTTTTTAATTTGTATAAAGAACTAAAGGAAATCATATCTAAGAACCAATGTATGAAAACAATGTCTTGTCAACTACAGAATATTAATAAAGACAAATGAATTTATGTGTCCATTTACTTAAAATACGATGTCAAAGAAGAAAACAGTTACATACTGTGTAGCCTTGACTATGTCCCATGTGCTGTAATCATCAATATGAGTTTTCCGTCCAAGAGGTTCACCATATCCATGGTTATAATGACTCTGTGGTTTGATTTCCTGTTAAAGAGAAAAATCACACAGAGGCAAGAATTGAGAAAAGTTACAGAAAACATTTCAATATTTCTCTACTGTTTTTACACTATTTGAAGAATGCTCATTATTTAAATGATTAAGTTTTACCTTTTTCTGATGTCTGTACTCTTTGGAGAAAAACCATGTTCAAATAGATCTACCCCTTGGTATACACTCTCAAAACAGAAAAGATGCAAGACTAGAAATTACTGACAAATTAGTAACTGAAATTCATCTTTAGTTCCATAAAACTCTCCTATCTTTTCAACAAATTAACTCTCCTTCTTTTAGACCAGTTTTTCTATTATTCTAGCATTACCCTAGCTCTAACACCATACTTTAAGACTTTCATCACATGCCAAATAAACTCTAAAGTCCTAAAGATAGGAACTCAGGGATATTATTCTTATATTATTCTAAGATATTACCGTTTCTTATACTTATTCATCCTGATAACTTGTTAAGTGTCTACCATTAGGTACATAAAGAACAAGAAACAGCTCTGATGAAATGTAAACCCACTTGAATAGTGCTAAAAATGTCAATACTCTTAAAGAAAATGACTTTCCTAAAAAGTATGTTTTTATCGATTTTTTAGATATAGAGGGAGAGAAAGACAGAAACATCAACGAGCTGCCGTCTGCACACCCCCTATTGGGGAATCAAGCCTGCAATCCAGGCATATGCCATCACCTGGAATTGAACCAGGACCTCTAGTCCATGACACGACGCTCAATCCACTGAGCCACACAAGCCAGGCAAGAAAATAACCTTATATATGAATATTAAACTAAACAATAGTTTCATAGAATATTACATCCATCAAAGCTTTTTGCTGTGTGTAATTTTCCATTTAAAATACACAATTTGCTATGCATAGCCAGCTCCTTCAATATAATGTAGCACTGAGATACAATTATATTTCTTTATATGCAAACAGAAAAATTGAGCATAATAAGCTCTATCATCACCTGTTCAAATTTCATATTTTGATCTATCTCACACACACAAACACTCTCTCACACAAAGACAAACACAAGTGTAAATATAAATAAAAGGATATAGCATAACAAAGTATCTGGAAAGAATGAAATCCTTAGAACTCATGTTCTCTTGACCACTGATATTTAATAATCCAAACTGAATGGCATTTTATTGGAGGGAAAAGGCTATTACCTTTAAATTACTCTAGCCATTCGATTTGTTTGGGAAATTCCAAAATTAATTTGTTTGAGCCATAAATTTAGAAGACTATTAATCAGAATATTTTCAAGAACAGGAAATTAAAAAGTTTCACAAAAGCACATTCTGCAGAACCTTTCTAAGAACTAATGTTCCTTATGAAAATGCTATTGCCAATATTAAAATACCACTGTAATATCATAAATCTACATTAGAAGAAAATAGAAATCAGTCTTAAGCCAAGATTCACAACATGCATAACGCACATAGCTAACTAAGCAATTTTTCTGAGATTGTTCTTGGACTCCATTAAAATAGAGCTGGTTAAATTTGAACATGGACAGGTATATTATTCTTGGTATGTGCAACATTCTGAATAACTGATGAAGTAAACCAAAATGTAAGACTTAACCATTTAATATTTTTAAATCTTTTCTATTTGATTTTCCACTAAATTACAACTCTCAACTTCTCTATGCTCTATATTCAGTGAAGTTAAGAAAGACACTTCTTAGAGCAGTAACATTTCCTTCTTTATAAATTCTCTTTTCTGATTTTATTCTCCTCTACAACCAGAAAAATAATTTTTTAAACTCTGACTTCTGCAGAGATGAAAGACACATGAAGAAAAATATAAAACTGGCAGTTTATAAGCAAAATGGAATAATGCTGTATATCTAATAAAACACGTACTGAGAGCCCACTATACATCAAGCACTCTCCAATGCACTGGGACCCCAGGCCAGGATAAGTGTGAAGTCATTGCTAAGTTTAAGAAGGTGCCCCAAGCCCTGGCCGGTTTGGCTCAGCGGTAGAGCATCAGCCTATGGTCCAGAGAGACCCGGGTTCGGTTCCCGCTAAGGGCACGTACCTCGGTTGCAGTTTGTCCCCGGCCCTGGTTGGTTGTGCGGGTGGCGACCACTCGATGTGTCCCTTTCACATCGATGTTTCTCTCTCTCTCTCTGTTCCTCTCTCTCCCTCCCACTCTACCTGAACAAAGAATGGAAAAATGTCCTCGGGTGAGGATGATAAAAAAAAAAAAAAAAAGAAGGTGCCCCAAAAAACTAAGCAATCTTTTAAAAAATCAAAAACAATGCAAAAGAATTCCCAAACATCAGCATGTTAAATATAGACAGCATCAGTACTGCTAATTGTTCTATTTGTACCAGGTTCCACAGTGGCTCGATGCAGCACTACAAACATACACCAGTCTCTTGCCCTCAAGGGCTTTCAATCCAGAGAGGAAAGACAAAACAGGTAAGAAATATAAGTCAAACATTAGAAGCAAGAACCTTCCAATAATAAATTAAAACCTAAATAAAAATATTGGGTCCAAAAATTAGTAACTTTAAAAACTATTCCAATTTGAAAATCTGTTAGGGCAAATTGCTATTCTCTTTTTACTAATCACAAATATACTTATTGCTTTACAGGATTATAAAAATATTTATAAAACAAAAAATAAATTTCTACTTAAAGCTTACTATTATAATGTTTTCATGTTCTTTAATGCCATTTTCATCCTGAGACCTATTCTTCATTTCTCTACAGTCTATTTTATCTCACTGACAATGCCAAATATATACTTTCAAATGTACAAAAAAAAAAATCACTATTTTTTTCTAGTAACATTTTTATATTAAATCTACATCGATATCTGTGTTATCCCATCTGTAAGGTTTTTATTTTTTAGAAAAAGAAATTTGATTTTTTTTAAATGGCTTTAAACATATCCCTACAGTAATTCTAGAGGGCTAGAGGCAGAGTTATTCCCATAAAAAGCAGAAGAAATTGTGTTTAAGTAAATCTATTTGTTTTATTATCCCCTCCCCCCAAGAAAACACCACTATCATACAGAACTTAATTTATCTTTCTCATTTTTAAACAGATGGGAAAGTGGTTCATCTCTAAAACTAGTACCCTGTCAATGACAAATGTCAACACTGTCTATCAAGATAACCACTATCACGAAGCCTAGAACTAACAATTGCAGTTTTTAAACTTAAAAACATAAAATAAAAAAATATTATGTTCCTGTAAATAAGTATATCTTATAAATGTAGACAATACTAATTTTTATTTTTTATTATTTTATTTTTATTATGACAATATTAATTTTTTAATTACAAGTTTGCTATTATATCAGATATAATTTATTTAATAACACTTTATTATTCTATAAATTTTCCTTGACCTTAATGGGAACCAAGAAGTAATTTGATAGCTCTGCCATGAAAAGTTATACTAATTTTAAAATACACATGTAGATAATTGTAACTTTTTTAAATGCAATAATTCCACAAGAAACAGCTTGATAAAATAAAAAAAGTCCTTAAGTAAGAGGTTACCGAATTGACTGTCTGCCACTCTCTTATCTAGGCTACAAACCAGCAAGTATTCAGGCCCCTCATTTATAAAAACAGGAGGATGGCCCTGGCCAGTTTGGCTCAGCGGTTAGAGCGTTGGCTTGCGGTCCAGAGAGACCCAGGTTCGGTTCCCGCTAAGGGCACGTACCTCAGTTGCAATTTGTCCCCGGCCCTGGTTGGTTGTGCGGGTGGCAGCCACTCGATGTGTTCCTTTCATGTCGATGTTTCTCTCTCTCTCTCTTCCTCTCTCTCCCTCCCACTCTGTCTGAACAAAAAATGGAAAAATGTCCTGAGGTGAGGATTAAAAAAACCCAAAACATAAAAAGAGGAGGATGAATAAGATTTGCATAGAATTCCTCTGAGTTGCTTCAAGGACCAATATCATAATAGCAGAGAGCTAAAAGGTTTCAAGGCCCACTCAATTCATTCCCCTCTTAAACTAATTCATCCTGCCCTGGCCACTTTGGCTCAGTGGTTAGAAGCGTTGGCCTGAGGTCCAGAGAGAGACCCGGGTTCGGTTCCCGCTAGGGACACCTGCCTTGGTTGCAGTTTGTCCCTGGCCCTGGTTGGTCGTGCGGGTGGCAGCCACTTGATGTGTCCCTTTCATGTCAATGTCTCTCTCTCTCTCTCTCTCTCTCTCTTTCCTTCTCTCCCTCTTTCTCCCTCCCACTCTATCTGAACATAAAATGGAAAAATGTCCTCGGGTGAGGATAAAAAAAATAATAATAATTCATCCTGTTTTAGATTTCTTTAATTAAAAAAAAAAAGATTCAGCTGCTCTTTTTAAAAGAAAAATTCAAAAACTAGTAGATTTAAAGTCCTCCAAGATCTCTTTTAAGGCTAACATACAATGATTTTATATATAATGAAATACAGAAATTACAGCCACTAGGAAGATCCTTAAATTATCTACTTGACAGCCCTGGTACTTGTTGAAAAGAACTAGAAGGAGAAAAAGTACCTCCAACAACTACTGCTAAAGCAGTAGACAGGAATGAGAAGAGCTGGGATAAGCTCAGATGTTATATACTGCCACTAAGAGAAATCAATATGTTAAAACTCAAATTTATACAGAAGGTATAGGCAAATGCTGGCTTATATGTCAAGATGATAGATGCCAACAATACATTTATTCACAATCTCAGGTAGAATATAAAATCAATCAACTAGTTTACCAAGTGTCTGTGACCAAAGAATCCCCTATTGGACCAATCCTTCCAAGTTGACTACCAACCAAATATAGATGTTTTATAAGTACTCTATCAGAAAAGGTTCTCCAAGAATAGGTTCTATGGTACAGTATGTCTAAAAACAAACATCCAAGGTAATCTCAGGAATATTCAGAAAGAAAAGTAAGGGAAGGGACTTATGAGCAATTACAATATATTAGAAAGCAAACTAATATAAACATAGGGTCATTGGTTATAAATAGAGCAA